TACGGTACAGTACATAGCCTATACTGTATATATAACATTGAGCATCACTCAAGTAACAATGAAGAGAAATGCCTGATGATTTCACGAAATAATAAATTATCAAATCAATATTTTAAAATCCAGCAGCGAATCGCATAGTTTTTCCGGCCAAACTTTAAAATGGTGTGTGGCGCCATCTGTTACGAGATTTTATTTTAAAAACCTTTTATATTATTAATTATTATAAATGGAAAAAAGTTAATTTTGAGGGTAAAGATGAGTTTTGTAAAAAATTGTAAATGCTAATAACGAGTAAAATCTTCATTAAATCCGATCCCACTAGAGATACACCCGACCTCCTCTATCTCCTCATCCCTCGACTTTTAGCCACCCATTAATTCCCCTAGTACACAAACCTTCCTGTAAAAATTCCAGAAATTTTCGACAAAAAACACAGGAATTAGTAAGCTTCAAAGTGTGTGAACAAACTTGTGCCTCTCCCCCACATCCATATCATACATACATAAATTACTCCGAATTTTTTTGCATTTCTCGACGTTTCAAGGTCCCCTAAGTCCAAAAATGTAAAAATATTGGGGGTCATTTTTTTTGGCCGATCGCCATACTTTCCCTCTGTTATACAGTATATAACTTGGAAAGCTGGAAAAGTAAAATGATTATCAATTTACTAAAAGTATTATTTGTAACGTTTATTTTTTTCCAATTTATTCATAAACTATTTTCAATTACTATAAAATTCAAGATGCAAATTGTAAATGGTGCTCCTATTGTGCTGGCGCTCCCAAATTAATAGTACCACTTTTGCACCGAATGGTTCTATTTTATATTTTTAATTCATTAATTTATTAATTACAGACTTTTAAATGTCGAAAGGGCAAATACTATTGAAAACCCGTCATTAGTACTACCATTCTGAGGCGGCCAGTGGCCGAGCCGTTAAAGTAGAACCCTGCTGTTCTGAGGGACCCAGGATCGAATCCGTATAGGTCTAAAAACTCTAGAAATTTTTATACGAGGCCGACTGGTAAAGACTATTCTTTATCACTCGATCTGCTCACTGTGGACCTGGCTTGAACCCATAATAGGTTTGCTAAAAAAGCACTTTGCAGTGACCACAGAGTGGAATTTTAAAAAAGTACGAATACTCTATTCGTGTGAAATATGTTGTTATATTATACTACTGTAATTCCTTCGTGAATTGTGCCGAAACTACTGAGCACTGGACGTGGGTTCGCGCCAGACCAAAAGGCTTGATTCGCGGTGTTTTCTGGTTTTCTTCACGTGTCTAATACCTAAACCTGAGAGGCCTTTCTGTGGGAAACTTCACATATAAAGTTCTCTCGAGAGGAATTTTCCCTTGACAGATCGCCATGTGTTGCGTTGTCTTATCCCATCAACCCAATTTAATTCTTCAAGAATTTCTCTTTCAATAGAAGTAAATCAAGTTTAAGAATAATTATTTTTTAATTAATACATGTATTTTGGGGTAAATACTACATTATCTCACGATACAAATATTAGTAAAAATTAAAGAAATTAAGTTTGTTTTTCCTCAAAGAACTTGATATATAAGATGTAGGAATTGAACTATTTCTATATATTATATCCTCTATCCTACTTCCTTTATTAAATATCTAATTTATAACTTTTCGTAGTAAATAATTAAGTTCATCCACTAATTAATTTTATAATGAATACGATAAATTGCTTAACTCTAACACAACAAATCGCTTAATTTAATCATCTTTAATTATATTTCGTTCAATCTATTGCTGTTTTAAACTTTTTAAACACTGTAAATTTGCTATTAATTTTCTTATCTCGTCTCTTTATAGAAGACACTTTTAATCCGATAACAATAAAGACAACATTATCAAAGGTCCAATACGAAAATCATTAAGAGTTTCTAATATACAGTAAACAACAAACCTCTACATACAATAAACACCACTGCAACACTCAATAATATATATATAATCATCATCTCTATTGTTATATTTTAACAAGAGGACTCGCCAGTTTATAATTACATACCTTCTAGATACGTAACTTTAAGTCACACAAATATTCAAATAACTAATTATCACGGTCTAATTATCAAAATTATTTTTATTCTAAATTAATTAAAAGGGATTTTTGTTGTTATAACAGTACATATATGTGTGTATAATGGCGACAAAGATGAACCGATTGTTTACTTTAAAATGACGATGGGATAGGAAGTGATTTACAGACTGCGAGCAGACATACAGTAAAGTTATCAAGTACCGATGTTGTCAACAGCTAAATTAGCCGAATTATTTGCTCATACAGACAAAGATAATTGCACTTTGACATTCATCCAATATGCTTTACCGAAATCGGATTCTATATTTGTGGAGTGAGTATATAGTCTGACAGTTGCTGTCAATAAGGAAGTGCCTTGCCTCATGATCGAGTGTATTCATTACTGAAGTTGGAGATTACTCAAGATGAGTGGCGGTTCCTCTCTGTTATTATACTGCTAATTAGAGAGTTCTCCATTTATATAATTTTTTTTCTTTGATATTTCTCATTCTATAAAAATTCTCTCGGCATCACTGTTGTGCCATCTTAAGGAAGATGATGTAAATATTTTATTTTTCTATCTATTTTTAAAAATAAAGTTTGAATTAGTTTTAATTCGATTTATAAAGTGTTCCTTTAATTTTTTTTTAGTTTCATCTCATCTGTTTACAAATTGCTTTTCAAAAGTTTAATTTTCTTCTTCGTTATTATACTCAAATTTGCTTCCATTGATCTTAATTTTGTCCTTAAGTATACTCATATACTCATATTTCTTGCATCTATTCTCGGTTTCTTTCTTTAGTTTTTTTAATTTTCTTTTAATAGTTTGCGTGCATTTCTTTATTTCTCCCTAATTCTTTTACCTTCTTTTTTATACAATGCTATTTTTTCCATATATTTTTCTCCTGATTAATGAAAAATCAGGAGAAAATAATAAAAAGAATATAATGAGAATATTGTTTTCATTCATCTTTCTCTAAATTTTTCCTTTCATTTTTCTTTCGGGGGATATAACATAACAGAAGAGAGAAAGGGGAATATTTTCTTCACTTTCCTTATGTTTTTACATACTTTCAAGCCATTTTTCCCTACATTAATTCCCTCGTTTCCCCCACTTATTTTCTCTATTATAAAGGAATATTTCCTTTAATTTCCTTACGTTCTTCCTTAAATTAATTCCCCAATTTTCCCTACTTATTTCCTTACAGTTTTCCTAATAATATTGCATTAAAATCCATTCGGAATTTTGCTTTATGACGTACTTAACTACAATCCATTATCACTTAAGATCCTTTACTGTAAAACGTTCTCATTACGAGATGATGCAAACAATGTAATTCGGATCAAGAAAAGATTATTTAAGTATCAAATTATTAAACAATTTTATCTTTTAATTCTCTTCGTGACGATATCATTTAGTTTTAAACTAATTTAAATGTTTTGAACATCACTTTTGATGCAGATGCAGAAATAAATGGAGTCAGTACAATTGATCCTAGTGACAAAAGTAATTAAATACATCAGACAGGAAACAAATCTGATTAAAGTTTAAACATTATCTAAATAAGATGCGATAGTTTGCATAGAAAAGTACCCGTTGTATTCACTAAATGTTGTTAATAAAGAGAAGCAAGCTTATCAAATGAAATGACAGCTAACTTGTTTACTACGATAAACGTGACTGAATTGGGAATTGCTGTATATGACTTTAATAAATATATTTAAATGAATATTAATGCAACGAAGTTAAATAATTAATCACATTCTGAGTATTTCCCATTTAAAATACTCTCCTGTATAGTACGTTTATTAAATATTAAATTAATATTTTTCTACTAGAAAAATTAAATAGTTTTCTCCCGTTTCTATACAATAATAATTGAATCATCATTACTTGTTACCAATGATAAGAAGGATGAATGAGTTGATTCGGAGAGACAGGAAGATAGTAATAACCAACAGAATGCTTGGGTAGATACGAATATGAATAATTACAGAGATGAATCAAGTGATATGCCAGTTGCAATGTGAATTAGGGAATTAACCAAAGAACTCATTGCTTATTAATATCTGGGTTATACGTCACCGTTAGTGGAGAGAGTCGCAAACACAAAAATCCATATCGGGTTTGGGTCAAACTTGTAATAGCTATTCCACTAGCAAAATTGATCACGCGACAACGTTGCATCAAAGCGAATGTCAAATAAATCACAAGTTTCTTCACTTTTGTAACATAATTAATCACACGGTAGAGTTTAACTGCGATATAAATGTTCACGTGACATAATGCATCATAGGATACTTAATCACACGACAGCGAGTCACGTCAGTATTGAATCTCGTTACAATTAAGACCTTACATATGTACTAATTCGAAAAAAAAGGAATCTTTAACCCGACATTCGCGTGATCCAGCAATAAAATTTCGGCAAATTTTAGACGATTCGACGTTGCTATTTGTGAGCCACACAACCGGAATTTCTATATTTAGTGAGGATTTTTTTAGAGAAATATATATAGAGTAATAGATAAATAATTAATTCAAAGCATATACTTATAAATTAGAAGGAATTTACTTGATTTTATAAATAATTTTTATTGCTATTCTCTATTGTTTGACAGTTTGTTGCAATGTTTGTTATCTACTGTTTATATGCCTTCGAGGATACTGAAATAAATAAATAAGAGAACTAACAAAGTTACTAGAAGATAAATAAGGAACACCTAATACAATTTAATAGAATAAAACTAAAAGAAGAGGATATTTTTTCTTCTTATCCTTCTTCTCTTCTCTCTTTCAGGATCCATGTCTAAGTCTGTTAAACGTTGAATTATAATTGAAAGATTGAATAATTTGTTTAAGTTTTGCTTTCAGAAATAATTAAGAAAATAATTAATATGAGTAATACTTTCATTTTAGTTTTTTTTAGTACTTTCTGCTTAAGTAGTGAAGCAACGAGCACACACGGTTTATACGTCCAACCATAAATTTTAATGAAGCTAGAGATACACAGAAGAAAGTTGGATAGAATAGAAAGAAAATTACGACATTGAATAGACCTATAAACTTCAATAAATGGATATATAACTGCAATAAAAGATGTCACAAAAGATTCTCTACGAAAAAAACTCAAGGTAATATCAAAAAAACCTTTTTTTTATATGTATAATTATGATAATAGACCATAGGTTTATAGACTCTGAAAATAGTTAATAGGTTGGAGATAAGATATTTTTTTAAATTAAATTTTGAAAATAGCATTAAAATATTTCATTTTTTTAAAGTTTAATTACTTAGTTTTATGTCGGATTTAAATTTTAAAGTGATTCTTACCTCACTTTTTTCAAGTTTCTCTTCGAAAAATAAATGAAGTTTTTATTAAAAGCCATTCCTCATTTAAGTGTTTGATTGAATTTTTTTTTACATGCTAAGCAATTTTTTTATATATTTTTTTTGTAAAAAGTGGATTTTTTTAGTATTAAAAGTAACTATTTTTTTAAATATAAGTTCTAGAAGTTAAAAAGTTTAATAACTCTATAAAAGTTTGCAACAGTATTCTAGAACTGGCATAGAACTTGTTATTGTTTCAAATACTAGAGTAAAAACAAACTGTTTCGAGTTAATAGGTTCTCTTTTTTTATTATAATTAAATATTTTATTACTTTAATAAACTTAAATTTTGGTTGTTAAAGAAGTTTTAGTATTGTAGTGATGCTGTCATTGAAAATAATATATATGTATTTTTGAAATAATTAAATAAAATTATTTATTAACTTAAACAATATTAATTGAATAATAAAAATTAGATTATTAACTTAAAAAAAGCAGTATTATTTTGAATTTAGATGCATCTTTTTCGTGTAGTTTTTTAGCTTAAATTTGGAGTGCATCAAGGAATTCTTTGTCACTCTGCAGAAAACTTTTGATGGGTGACAAAGAATATTTTATATGAAAATTTATAGTAATTAATATATTTTCTGTTATTAATACACTATATTTTTACTCTTACATTTTATCATATCTCTTGAAGAGTGTTAAAGAATATCCTAAATGAAAGTTTATGGTGATGAAAGTAAGAAAAGTTTTATACTATTTTCAATTTCTTTACCTTATTTTAAAATATTATTAAAGTTTTAACTCTTTAATAAATGATTTTAAACTGTATTTATCTCTAATTATCATTCATTTCGCCTGAAAAATTCTTTTTAAAACGTGTAGATGCACTTAATCCATTAACACACACACTTCATAAATTCGCTTAAATTTTATACTTATTCACTTTTAGATCTTTATAGCAAAGTTTTAATTAATTATATTAAAATATTTTATATATTTAAACTTTAAAATATACATAAATATTACTTTAATATCCGCATTTTATATCAAAGATTCAGAAAAAGCGATCTCATTCTATAATCTATTTATATAGTCTATAAATTTAAGCTACTGTATATACAGTAGTGGACCTATCACTACTGATGCATACAGTTTCAGAATCTCTTCTAAATCCAAAAACTTAGTATTTTACTAGTACTATACAGCCAAATCTATGCAGTAAGAGTTATAAATCCGAGACTTTTTGTAGAAGAAAATTTATCAGAATTTACTTCTCTAACATTGAAATAAACGTTTCTTTAATGCTCTTACTTATCATACATCACCTCACTATCAGTAGCAGAACAGATTATAGAATTCACCCTTTAAAAATATCCAAAATATTATCCAGATATACATATTTGTAACAGAAGAGAGGTATTAATTATAGCTTAATTTACTGCCTTTCTGAGTTAACAAAACAGATAAAACTTTCAAATATTTAACTTTACTCCATTTTTAAAAGAATTTTTAGGTTATTTTAAGAGGAAAAAAAAATAATAATAAAATATATTTTCTAAAATANTCATAAATTCGCTTAAATTTTATACTTATTCACTTTTAGATCTTTATAGCAAAGTTTTAATTAATTATATTAAAATATTTTATATATTTAAACTTTAAAATATACATAAATATTACTTTAATATCCGCATTTTATATCAAAGATTCAGAAAAAGCGATCTCATTCTATAATCTATTTATATAGTCTATAAATTTAAGCTACTGTATATACAGTAGTGGACCTATCACTACTGATGCATACAGTTTCAGAATCTCTTCTAAATCCAAAAACTTAGTATTTTACTAGTACTATACAGCCAAATCTATGCAGTAAGAGTTATAAATCCGAGACTTTTTGTAGAAGAAAATTTATCAGAATTTACTTCTCTAACATTGAAATAAACGTTTCTTTAATGCTCTTACTTATCATACATCACCTCACTATCAGTAGCAGAACAGATTATAGAATTCACCCTTTAAAAATATCCAAAATATTATCCAGATATACATATTTGTAACAGAAGAGAGGTATTAATTATAGCTTAATTTACTGCCTTTCTGAGTTAACAAAACAGATAAAACTTTCAAATATTTAACTTTACTCCATTTTTAAAAGAATTTTTAGGTTATTTTAAGAGGAAAAAAAAATAATAATAAAATATATTTTCTAAAATATCATTCGTTAAGGAGAACTCGATTCAGTTCAGGACCACCTGTCATCTAAAAAAAAGGAAACAAAATGCAGACGATTGGAGACATTGGCGTTAGAGTCACAAACTTTTGTTAAAAGTAAAGAAAAAAAGAGCAAGAAGAGACCTTTTTTTTTAAAAAAAAAATATAGTATATATATATATATAATACATTTTCTTAGGTTCTTGAACTCAATATCATTTCGTGAAGTTGAACTTTAGATGCAGTCATTTTGCAGTAAAATTATACGTCTGGAGTGCAATGGATTGACGCCCCTAGAAGGTGAATTAGGGGTTGCACGAGTCAGTCAGTGAAAAAAAAAAAGAAAAAATATAAAAAAATAAATCGAAAATCATCGATTGAATCTAACTGTAGACAAAAGAAACTGAGAATGGAAGAGAAGACAGCTTCAAATGGCTAAAATTCGAGTCGGTGTTTGGCGAGATCCTTTTTAAGAGTCTTGAGTTACTCGCTGCTATTCATCTTTTATTTTATTCTATTTTTTTATATGTTTGAGAAAGGGCTTAACCTTTTACTAGGATGAAAAGTCAAGATTGAGAATGATTAATGAGAAACATGTCGATAACTTTTACAACATGGTTTGAAATGTGTCACCAGTTCACACGAACATATACTTTTCTGATATTGCCTTAACTCTAGCAAATTTTTTGGGATAAATATATATATATATATATATATATAAGATCTCTTGCTACTTCTACAACGAAATCTTCAGATAATTATAGTATTTTATGATTTTAATGATTAATTTTTATATCGAAAAGTGAATTTTATGCATCGACGAGCGAGTAGTAACATTAACGATTATGATTTTTTTTTTTTAAATTGGAAGGTTTAACTTAAATTTATTAGAATAAAATGATGTTTAGACAGATAAATACGTAAAGAATAATATAAGTAATTGCTATATCTGCCAAAAATTTTTGTTTGGAATAGTATATTTTAAAATTCGATAAAATAGAAAGCAATCTAAGCTGTCAAGTAAGACAGAAATGAAATTGGCTAAAGTATAATGAAAAATTCTGATTAATTTGATGTCGATGTTAATTAATATATAAGTTAATTAGTCAAATCTGTCTTTTACACGTTGAGTGCTGATTTTGGAGAGTTGTCTCAGTTATCGACATGGTTAAGACGATAGAATGAAGTACACTTCAACTTTATGTTTGATTCGAGTGGTATTAACTTGCCAAAGATTAAAGAAAATAAACAGAGTTTGAAAATTTTCATTAGAATTTTCTGTAAAGGTGCCTCTTTCATTTGTTAATTATTCTTAAAAGTTTAAAAATTTTGATAAATTTATTTATTTTTAAAAGATTAAAAGGTTTTTTACAAAGTTACAAACCGTTAAAAAGCGGATGCTTTAAAACCAGAATATACCGGTTTTTTTTAATGTTTTAAGCCTTAAATCTATAAATTTAAATGTAAAATATTAAAATTATTTTTAAAATATTTATAAATAATAATTTAGAAGGTTAAAACACCTTAAAATATCACGAATCTTAAAGGTAGAGAGTATAAATGACACTATATCTTTCTCTTTCTTTGTCGTTTAAAGTCTCGATTTTTATAAACTTTAAAGCAACATATTATAGGAAAAAAATAACATTTTTATTTTTTAAAATTAATCGCTTCTGATAAGGAAAAAGTGAAGTAGAATAAAAGCTTTACTTATCTGGAATCAAACTCTAGAAAAGAATTGATGATAGTTATCACTCAAAAACGAAATAGACTAGAATGAAAGATTTTGGTAAACAGGAACAAAAAAGTAATAGAAACAGTAGAAGAGCATGAAAGCTTTGCTTCTAACAGTACATTGGCTGTAGAAAAGGTTTTTAATATATCAGCAAGAGCAGTAGAAGAACTTAGAAAACCTTTATCGCTTGGAGAACTTTATAGTTAAGAGCGTGAAAACTTTGTTAACATCAATAACAACAGAGTATATACTTTATAAATTAATTACTTTAAAAAAATAAAAGTCGTATGAAATTTTTTTAAAATTTCGTACAGCATTTTTTTAAAAATAAAATTCAAATTTATGTGGAATTACAGAACATGTATTGATCGAATTAATCTGATCATTCGGGACTTGATAATACCTTGAATAATAAGATATTTTAGGATGTAGGAACCTAAATCCTAGATATTAGGTATTTTTTGTGTCTTCTAGTAATAAATAACTTAATATTTTAGGTGTTAAAATTAGATTAGTATTAATGTTAACAGCGGAAAATAGTATAGGAACCTGAGTTAGTAACTCGGGTCTATACTAATAATCTTTACTCCTAAACACTATACCAATTTCTATACTAATAACTCGTGTATATAAATTAATTTTAAAATAATAAAATAATAAAAAGAACATGGATAAATAATGATATAATTTTCAGAATGGAAAGATGAAAGTTTATAAAATTCTTGAGATAATTTCTATAATTTTAGAGTAATTTTCTAATTTTTTAATGTAGAAAAGAACATAAATTTGTGATTTTTTTGAGTGATAAATGATTAAAAAAGTCAATATTTGAAAATTATAAATGGTATTATTTACAGAACTAGATAGAGAGAGTTCATCAAGATTATTTGGTCTGAGGACCAATACAAAAGGGCCCCCAAAATTTAATCTTTTATGTTTTTACATATGAAAAAAAAACAATTTTAAAATTTATCATAATTTTGTTTGCTGGTTGTACAGTATAACCTGCAAACAAAATCATACAATGTATAATATGCATAATGTTTATACTATTTTAATAATTAATTATTTTAAATAAAAGTTTTAAAAAATAATTATACTTTATTCTAGCTTATTTTTTAAATTTTTATATTATAAAATTACGATAATTTACAACTCAAAGGATGATAGATACATTTACAAACTTCTGTGTTCAATAGCAGAATAGATGGAGCGAATAAAGGATGATTGACTTGATAGTTGCTCGAAATTGACTTTTTGTAACTTGACTTTTAAAATATGTCAAATTTTATAAAGATAAAGTTTCAGAATTTTTTCAGGAATTTATACGTTAGCTTATATACATAAATTCCTAAGTTTCTATATGAACTGCGTAAATATTTATGAATTTATCCTCCTTTTAAATAAAATTATCGCGATTTTATGCTTAAAATAAAGAATATAATTAATTTCCAGACATCTGAGAGTATTTTTTAGGTTTTTATACGATTAATACATATATAAGTTATCATAAAAGTCGGCATAAATGCTCGTATAGACGTTACTACATAAATATATTACAGGCTTTAAAATTGTATAAAAATGACTTTAAAATTTAATTTTAAAGATGTAAGAAGTTTAAAAAATGTTTTTTAAATTCATAAATATTTATATAAAGTTAAACCTGTGAATAACGGCCACTGACGGAACGTAAAAAATGGCCGTGGTATAAAGGTTAGGGTATTTTGTATGCATTTCTTTTCAGTAAAAATGGCTACCTCTAAATGGCTTAATAAATTAAATATTATAAAATCTTTTTATTAACTAAAAATAATTAAATATGAGTTATAATATTTATAAAGGAGGCAATTTTTTAAAACAAAATTCATTTTTAAAAGTCAAACGTGTCGACGAAAACCTAATTTTAATAACATAATTAGGAGTTTAATTAGCGTATTTAATAAATAAAATTATAATTTTTAATTACATAAAGCATTTAAAATTAAATATTTTACATGGTTTTGAATTTTACATCGAACTATAATTAAATAAAGCGTAAGGATATTAAACAATATTTCCAACTTCATTCATGCGACGGGAACTAGTTATGGAAATGATTAATGAAAAGACTAATTTAGATAAAAACATTTTACAAGACGTTAGATACTAATTAACGTAATGAAAGAACAAGTAATAAGAGGAAGAAGAAGAAGAAAAATTAAGAAAAAAAAATGAAGAAGAAGGCCATACTTGAACCACTTTAATATCTTCATTCTCAAGTGCAACTTCATTAAACATAATCAAATATGTCGCCATTTTGTAAACAGGTAGGAACTAATTCAAAATTTTATATATGTATTTAACCTTAATTCGATTTTATGTTAAATAAGCTGGAAAATTAAATCGGTTATTTGTTCAATTTAATTCAGTTTATTGCGCCTTTTAATTCATTTTATGTGGTGTGTAGTTTGATGTTTACCAGTAAGTAAGGTTAAATAATATTAGGATGGAAGTTATCCCAACTTGTTATTAATGAATAGTTGATAAGGGAGATTCTTTATGAGTAAAACGTGATACTTACAATAGATTCCTACAATAGGGCACTCTTAATGATGTCTTTCATATCTTTATTTTAATTATCTTTGTAAAATATTTAAGAATTAATTTTCGTACGGTACAACACAGTGATAAAATTATATCATATTTAATTTCATTTACATAACGACAATTTGCTCTTTAGTAATTATACGGTACGGACTCGCTTCGGTCAAATTTAATTGTTAAACAATAAAAATAACGTAATTTGTAATAATTTAAATGGTTTTTTTTAATAGGAAATTTAATGTATAAATTAAAATTTTATTAATATTTATCGCGATTTTATCACATCTCTAAGCTTTAAATTTGTGGTTCTTTTACGCTTTTCTATGCTTAATTTATTAGTTTTTAATACGTAAATTCTTTAAAATTTTAATACGTGACTGAATATTTAAGAAAAACTATAAAAATATCGCTGGAAATCTATTAAAAATGCGAAAATTTACATAGGATATATAAATTATGCTACTAAATTAGCCCATATTTATGTAAAAAAACACCGCCAAAAGATGAGTTTAAATGGTTTAATTTATTAATTAGATTGAATTTTTATAGAAATATACCTTATATTGTAGAAAAGAATGATGTTATTTCAAGCGAAAACATCACTAATTCTTATATATATACACACAATTGATTCAGGAGGAAATTTGAAAGAAAAATAAATAAACTAAACGAGTAACAGTAATCTATGTCAATCATTCTATGTTACATTCAATGGACAGTAAAAGAAATAACCTTTAAATGTCATCGAATCTGTCTTTTTAAGGCATTAAAAAAAGATTTCCCGAATTCCATTCGGTTCGTAATTTCTCCGGACACGCTATGACGTCATTCCACTTCACTTAATGGAAAAGAGCGAGGATGTGACATGAGACTAGTTTGACACTATTTCCCCCACTTAGTTAAAGTGCTGACAACCGTAACTCAGTTACAACCTCTGCTAGACAGACCTAGCATCAGTATCCATTATCATCGATCAGTTTGAAGTCCCTTCATCTGACACCATCAACGATATCGCCCACAGATTTTCAACTTATATTTAAAACTCTTCTTCAGCTTTACTTTTCTGATTATTCTCTTCTTTTTTCCTCCTATTTTAGAAGGATTTTTTAAAGATAAACTCTACTTCTTATATTCACAAAAGACGTAGTTCTCCATTAAAGCATCCCTACGACTCCACGTTATCACTTTACGATTCTCTCCATCCTCACTGATTTTTTTTCGTTAATTTTATTAATTTTACTTTATATTTTTAAAAAAATGATTAAATTTATTAATTAATATACTCTTTTTTAAATAGAATTAG